TCTCTCTCTCTCTCTCTCTCTCTCTCTCTCTTAACCTTCCTTCTCTCGCCTGGCCTTTTATAGGCTCTATGTCTCTTCCCATTCCTTCGGCTATTTTTATGCATTTTTTCGTTTAGCTTCTTAAAAAATTTGCCGAATAACAAAAAGGCTTTGCAGCGGCATCCACCTCGTTTTTACGTTTTTTAATCTCCAGTAACTGATAGGACCGTCTTCTTATAATATTTTATTGCGACAAGTGTATGAGTATTAGAAAAAGAAAGAAACTGGATCCTAAAAACCTTTTATATCGAAAATATTTGCCATGTTGAATAATAAAAAGCTACTTAAAATTATTTGGTCTGTCCTTGTAAAAAGATGCACCATATATTATGCCAATTTATAGCTTCGTATATGATGTAGCATATTCGCTTTTTGTAATACGCAACTTTATTTTATGTCCGTAAATTTAAAAATCTTTGTGTTTAATCATTCGATGAGAAGTAAATCTACTTTCATTGGATTATTTGACAGCGATGCTTAGCGCTTTATTTATTTGCGTATTCTCTGTATTGTCTGTGATAAATACAGTTTCGTAATTTCAATAACCGAGAATATTTTTAATATGTGTCCACTTGCGCGTTACGGTATGCAACATTTATTTAGACGCGAAATATTATCAACAAGCGAGGCAACAAATTCAAAAGACGAAGCTCGTTAAAAAAAATTCCGCGTTTATTTGCTCGTAATGCTATATAATATGCTCGAAAGAAGTTCGCTTTAAGAAAATAGCAAAAAAAAACAAAAAAAAAAAAAAACGGAAGAAAAGAAAGAAAAGAAAAGAAAGAAAAACAACGACCAACAGGCAGACAAAATAAAGGGAAAGAAACAAAGTTACTTTCCGCATTGGCTGCAATCTTAGAATGTGTATCTTAAAACTTTGTAAATTATTTGCATTGCTTGGAAAATCGTTGTGACTGGGTGATATATAAATAAATAAATAAATAAATTAATAAATAAATAAATAAAAACAAAAAACAAAGGGGAACGTTCAAATGTTGGCGCCAAACAAATTATCATGAAATTTCAGTTCTTTAAGACATAAAATCTATAAAAACAAAAGTATTTCAATTTTTTTTTTTTTTTTTACATCATTACCGGCATAATGTATTTATCCTGTGTATATAAAAGGACTTTATGCCACTTACTCTAGGCCGATTGTCAGAATTTAACGAAAAAAAAATTCCACTTAAAATTTGCTAATTTGCTTTCTTTCTTACAACAATTTCACTCAGCCCATTGCTCGACAATGATTCCTCAATTTGCAAATTCCCCTATTGGCACGGAAGTCTACTGATCGGTTACTCGATCGATTGGTTGGATAATCTTCAGCGAGCGATACACGCGTTCTCCAAGTTTATATTAAAAATTCTAATTTCTTCTCGCAAGACCTTTTGTTGCCCTCGGGCAACGAAGATTGTTCAAAAGCGCCACTTAAATGATAAATATCGATCTAAAGTCATGGATGGCTTCGTGTGAAATTCGTCGACACCTTTGTGAAATTGAACGCATGCGTTTATTAGGGACAGAGAACTGAAATTCAAGCTTCTAAAATTGAAAATTAACTCTCGCCGCGATGAAGAACCTTATATAGATGACGCTAGCTAATTATAAAAATATGTTCGTTTCATGTTTTTTTTTCCCTTCTCTTTTCTCGCCTTTTCCTTTCATTACATTTCTTTCCCCGATAACTCGCCATGTTCGCTACTAACGATACTTCCTGCTCGATCAAGCCGATTATGCATGCGATTTTCCAATGAATCGCCCGTTCCATTTTCAATTTGCCAATGAAGCTCAAAGCTCCTTGATCATTTCTCAATCGTACAACACAATTACCACAATGAATAATCTATAAAATCACGGTTAGATGTCGTGTGCGTCAATATGAGCTAACTATTGGTAACGCCTACGCGATACGTAAAAAAGAGATGCGAGATGTACAACTCCTGGTTCCGACTAAGTTCAATTTTCGTTGGCTTCGTGTTCTTCAGCAGCTTTCATCTTTACTTAAGCATATCATTAATTATTAACGATTGAATTCTTATTAGCATTTGGCCTTCGGAACGGAGCTATTATTTCTTCTTAAAAACGTCGATCCATTTCGGCCTCTCCGTACAAAGAGGACATAAAATCTTTCAATGTTATTATTATATAAAATAATGTCTTTTATTTACCTTTCGACAAAATGTTATCGGGCCTTGTACGAGCTCTTGTAGCGAAACTCGCCGGAGCCCGAATCGACGCGCGTCGTTTTGCTCGTAGATGAAGCAAACGAACGATTTGATCTCTGAGACTCGAGTCATTCGCCATTATATTATCAAGCCCCGGCTTCCATAAATCCGGCGCTCATGTATAATTAACATATCGTTATGAGCAAATGATACGTTTAGAGAAGGCTTACATTGGCCCGTATCCTCGAATTCTTGGCTTTACGGATTCGATCGTCGATTCGAATTAATATGGTAAACAAAATACCATTGCACGGCCCACGTTCTCTCCGCCATTAGCCCTAAACAAATTCTCATACTTCTGTCAAATAATTATAGATGCGCGAGCTGCACGAGAATTAAGGTCTGTCAGTTTCGTGACAGCACTGTCACTTCTCGGCTCGAGGGCCTCGAAAAAATTTATCTAAAAAAGGATCAACGAGCGGATAAATGTAGCTCGCGTATCCGTAGAGAGCGAGAGAGAGTGTGTGTGTGTGTGTGTGTGTGTGTGAAAAAAAAACCAAAAAAAAACAAAAAACAAAAAAAAGACATACAGGCATACCAGTGGTCGCTCTTCGGGATTTCCGTTTGACAGGTTCATTCGGTATCCTCCGAGCAGAAATGCCCTGCGCATTATCGACAATAATCGATCGCCAGAGGCGCTTTCTGATCCTCCATGTGCATTTACCACCATCGATTCAATCGCGATTTTTGTGAACTTCCTTAATAAGCTTCCTTCGCTTAAACGACTCTATTTTCCATCTGCATACTTGGCCATTTTTTTCTTTCTCTTTGTTTTTCATTTTCTTTTTTTTTCTTTTTTTTTACATGCATTCGTTAGTCTCCCTCTCCGTTCTTTGTAATTGCTCGGCTCGTTCGATGGATTGCATAATTAAAATATTGTAATTTGCTTAAAGGCGATGGGTCGGCGAGTGAGAGGTGAAGTGACGCGTTACGGTTCCTCGAGTCAATAGTGGCGATCGTTTTGCTTTCGTCCCTTCAATCGATCGATTTGCGCGCAATTTGCGCAATTTACGCAATTTACAATGGTCAGCAGACATTGACATTTGGCATTCGGTAGCAACTAAGCTTATACCATAAAATAAAGATTCTGCTCGATACATATTTATTATCTTCCGCGAGATGAAAGAATTTACGCTCGAAAGAAGCGTATAATTTCGCTTCGACGGTGAAAATTAACTTTAAATGCCCACTTGAAAAAAAAAATACAACCTAAAAGTTGTAATACTTTCAAATCAGATGAAATAATTAATTATCGCTGAGAGAAAAATTTCTCGACTCTTGATAAAATCAATAGGTCAGCCGAATAAGTTTTAAAGTGAAACAGGGCGACAGATAGGCTGGCAAAGAAACGTTTTTAATCGAATATGATAATTCTGCGCGTAAATGAAAGAAAAAAAAAATAAAAAAAAAAATAAAAAAACGCAAAACAAAAAACAAAGCAAACAAACAAATAAAGAAACAAAACAAAAGAAAAAAAGACATTAAAATTCATTCGAGCATTAGCATTGCTTAAACTGAAAATCTGGATTGCAATCTTTCGTCGACTTATTATCAGAATAAAAAACAACAAAAACTTGTTTATATGCATTTAGCGATTATAAAGTGCATTTTTAAAAAGAATAAAATCGACGAATAAATAATTTCGTTCGTGAAAGGTTGCTTTAGCGAAACTTTGCTCTCGTGATAAATCATTGGTATTAATATGTAATAATTCTACGACGTTTTCGTCGAATTTCCAATAAAGCACGTAATTGGTTGGAATACTTGTCATGTAAAGTTAAAAGAAATACTTGAGACATCGATTCTCTCTTGATTATTTAGAATTCATTTACAAGGAATTTGATGGGTTTTGCAGGAGAGGTCGAGCGAGAAATCTGCTGTTGCGTTTCGTGAAGGTCGTGAAGGCCTACAGTTAGCGAACTTATGCGTGCCACACAGATCGACGATTATCGTAAGTAAGCCAATATGGAATGGCTCATTCACTCGCTCATTCTCTCTCTCTCTCTCTCTCTCTCTCTCTCTCTCTCTCTCTCTCTCTCTCTCTCTCTCTCTCTATATATATATATATATATTTATATTTATTTATATTTATTTATTTATTTATCTATCCATCTATTTATCTATCTATCTATCCATCTATACATCTCCCTCTGTCTCTCTCTCTCTCTCTCTCTCTCTCTCTCTCTCTCTCTCTCTCTCTCCCCTTGTCTCTCTAGTGGGCTCTGGCTCTGTCTGTCTGTCTACCAGGATATCTTTCTCTTACTCTTTCATCTTTCCGAAACGAAATCGAGATGAGAGATCAAGTTAAACAAAAATAACTAATAAGGAACCCAGACATTGTAGCTTAATTGCACTCGCGCGTGCGCGCGCAACACACACACACACAAAGGCACGAGCATCGCGTCTGATACATCTAACACCTAAACCCACATAGAGTGTACAGTTTGTGCTTTTAAAAGCTTCGCATTAAAAGGTGCGTCTCCTCAAAATATCCCGTAAAAAAGAGCAAGCTGAGTGCCATAGAAAAATAAAGAGAGAGAATGAGAGAAAGAGAGATAAGGGTGGGGACGGACGCTGCAGCTGCGTTACGTACGAGGGCACGCATTTAACGCGCCTACGCACACCGCAGGTAGCAACTGCGACTTTGGCACTTGCATTAGTGGGGCATAAAACGGCAAGCGAGTTGGCTCCACTAGGACCAATCGAGACTCCTCGGTCCTGGTTACATAGCTAAACTCTGCCCTATTATGGGGGTGGTCAGCCTCTCATTGTTACCTGGACGCTGTATTCCCGCGGCTCCTCCACCTACTACAGCACCTTCATCTTCTCTTCCGCCTCACCCCCAATGTTTTATTGATATTCGCAATACGAGCCTCGGCCACGGCTACCGCTCCCCGATTAGCCAAGGACTTTGCTTTCGCTATTCCCCTGGCGCGAGAGGCTTATGCCACTTAAGGCTCGAGGGCCGAAACTACGGCAAATAACGTCGACTCCGGCCTATTTTGCAAGCTCCGTCCATCGTATCCTCCGATCGTTTCACCATCTCCTCGGCAACCTTAGCTGACCCTGCCCTCCCCTGTCTTCTACTCAAACGAAATGTCGCGCGCGCGCGGCTATCCTGGTGCGGACTGCGCCCGAGTAAGCGGTTCGGCTCTAGCACCGCCAGCCCAGGGTAACTCAATGACTAATAATCCCGTGGCACGGCAAGTGCCCCTCGTCCCGCAAGTGCTTCTCCATGTAAAAGTGCTCGAGCCAAGTGTACGCATCGGTGACGGGTGGACGGGGCAGAGCGGTAGCGCCCCTGACTAATAGACGAAGAAGGAACGACAGAGCCGGATTGAGAAAAAGAAGGAGCGAGCCCCGCTGAGTTGCGGTTAACTTTTTCCCGTGGCCCCTCTCCCTTATTGTCGGCTCGCATTGCCGGGGTCGTCAGTCGCTGGCAGGTAGATGCTCGATATGCGCGCGCGCGCGCGCGTCTACCCACACACGCTCGGGGATGCTGCCCTTTCGGGGTGTCCCGGGCAAGAGACACCGAGAGATCTACGAGTTCGTTCCCTCATCCCTCCAGCTCCGATATCACGGACGAGCATCTGCGTCGCGCTTGTGTCCGCGCACCGAGCGGCGACAGGCGAGGGACGCCCTGCCCCCACCTCCGCCTCCACCCTCTTTTCCTCAGGACGAGCTTGAAAAATTGATGGCGAGCGCCGATAATGACCCCTGCCTTCTTCCCTAGCGCTGACCTGCTTATCCCTTCGACTCGTACCGTACCGTCCCCCCGTCCTCCCACTCGTACATCCTTTTTGACATTCCTCGGGGTGCGACGGGGCCGAGCAGCGGCTTCCCTCCTCACTCGTCCCTCAATAATGCGGGCGAATTCATTATCGAGCGACACGTCGACGAGGCGAATAATAAGTCGGTAACGCAGCAGTAGCCCGGCCGTTGCCGCGACTCCGGGCCCCGTTTCACCTCCTGTCCCACCACCTTTTGTCACACCGCCCCGTTATTGGCACAAAACCGAGCGCACCTCGGCATCGGCCCTGGGCAGTCGTATTGGAGGGCCAGTTGGCGTTGCTGGCATTGTGGTTTGTCGCACCGAGCCTTTTATTAGATCCGACTCTCGGCTCGCAACTGTTACCAAGTCGCGTCGACTTGTCCTGTAAAAGGGAGGAGGCAACTGCGGCAATTACGAAAACGCACAATGCACAAACGTATGCCGCCAAGATTTATTAACTCTTGAGCAGCGTGCGGGAGAATTTATATTTCACGGATTTTTAAAATGCCGATTATTAGTGGCGGGTGTGAGTAACGAGTACGTAGGGAGGTGCACCTAAGCGTCCGGGCCCTTGCGTTTAAAAATTCTTCGACGGCCGATCTCCCCCAATGAATCATTAGTCTTTGTGGTGGCCTTTTTCTTTTTCTTTTTTCTTTTTTTTTTCTCCGTCTTTTCCTTCATCTCCTTCTTCTCCTTCTTCTTATTCTTCTACATCTTCTTATTCTTATTCTTATTCTTATTCTTGTTCTTCTCCTTCTCCTTATTCTACTTCTTCTTCTTCTTCTTCTTTCTCGTCTTCTGTTTCTTGAGCGCCGTTTTACGTCGTGGGCAAGAGCGGTATAGAAAGTTGTGACATCGGGCAAGAAAAGAGGATCAGGTGAAACTAGTCGGCAGCAGTGATGGGCTTGCCGAGTAAATCCCAACACAAGCCTTAACCTTTCGTCTCGGAAGGCTTTGAAAATGGCAAATGACTTGGTTTACCCTCGGGACGCCGATTGGAGAGCGGGGCGAGGGGTAGGGGGGGCGATATGAAGCACGAAGGACGTGGGTGAGTAGCGTTGTCGGCTAACTTTTGCCTCTGACACAGCGCAGCTTCGCTCCCCGGAAAGGAGTGATTTTTCTTTGACGATGCAAATGCGCTGCCTCGGCATTGTTCGTGGGGATCGGTAAAGCGAAGATTTTGTCAAAAATGCGAAAGTTAAGCCGAGACTGTTACGGCTACCATCACCGCCGCCGTCGTCGTCGGCATCGACGTCGTCGCCGACACCGTCATCGTCATCGTTACCGTTGCCGTCGCCGCCGCTGCTATTACCACAACTACTCTATTGTTGTAAATCTCCTAAAATAACGTGGTTGAGCCGTTCGACCTTTTCTCTCTCTCTCTCTCTCTCTCTCTCTCTCTCTCTCTCTCTCTCTTTACGATCCTCCGATTTCCTCCTCTTCCTTCTACTCTTTCATCTCCTCCCCCTACTCCTGCTTCTTCAGGACCACGACCCCGCCCCGCATATTCCCCGCATTCAACTACGACCCCCGCAAACCGTAACCTCCCCCCTCCCGGCCGCGCGCATCGGTGTACAACTGCATCGGTACATCCCGACTGGTCGCCCCTACCCGCCCAAGCTCCGGATTCTCGATTTGCGACGGGGATCGCACTCCCCCGAGCGCCACGCACGCTCGGGCCTACCAGGGGTGGCGCATCACTTTGGTATCCGCGAGGCTAGGGAGCGAGCTTAAGTACCTGGAAATCTCGGAGCGATTACTCGACGTCGCATCAACCGAGCCCCGATCCTTTCCCAATGTCGCGCATTGCGCTAGATTTTGCTGAGGCGCAAGGGCCGGGCGATCCGGTGCCTCGAGCCATCGCTGCCGCGCGCCCGATTCACAATACCACCGCTAATGTCCATTTACCAATGGACTCGCTCGTTCGGTCTGGCGCGTCGGCCTGTTCTAGTGCTTTTACGCCTGCCATAATGCCTTTTTGTGAGAATACCGCGCTCTACGCCGCAGGTATAAAAGAAGCGAGAGCGACCCTCTTTTTTTCTTCCTCCTAGCTTCAAATGACCAAACTCGAAATCCAGCCTCACTTTAACACTCGGCTTATTTATTCAATTATTTTATAGTCTCTTATATTTTTCGTCGGCTTCAAACCAGAAATTTAAAAAAGCCTGCCTCCCGACCGAATATATCCTCCTCCTCCTCCTCCTCCTCCTCCACCTCTTTCTCCACGGCTCCTCCCGAGCGAGCTACATATTTCTTTTCTTTATTTCGAGAGGGCTATTCCAATGGGCTTGGAGAGTCAAGGCACACGAACAAAAATTATAGAAATATTTTCAGTTCGCTCGTCTGCCTACGTGCACGAGAGCGAGAGCTTATTAATAGTTACCTAATGGATAATCCGGCAAAATTGCTCACCTCGCCTTTTATCCCATCCTCGCAATTATCCTTTCATTTCCGAATGGCTTTGATGCCTCCCCCACCCTCTTTCCGACCCCACCGCCGAATATCGGGACCGATTTATTTATTTTCGACAAACATTTGTATCATTCAGGAATAAAAAATTGGTCAACGCGAGCGCACAATTTACAGATTAATAAGCTTTTAAAGGATGTGAACAACAGTTTCAATAGCCAGCGCTCGGAAAGAGAGAGAGAGAGAGAGATTGTGGTGTGCAAGATTGTTGCATTATTTAACGGTAGCCCATTCGTCCCTCGCGACCTCGCATTTGCGAATTAGGCTGGTTTCATAATTTATAATTTCGTCCTAAAGGCAAAAATGGCCTATTGTGATTTATTTAAATGATTATTATAAATATCGTCGTCTATATTTTGAAAAATTTGTTCGGTTAATAATTTTCCCTTCCTTGCTTCTCTCCTTTTTTCCTTCTTTCCTTCCTACCTTCATCTTCCTTACATTTTTTGAAACCATTACACGTACCGTCTCCCGCGCGCAATTAACATTAAAGTAAAAGCACCAACTGATATTTCCATTTCAGCAAGTACCTCTTAGCAATTTGCGAAATCATTAATCGAACTAAATGCAATTATAAATATCAAATAGACGCTTAACGAACGTATCTCAAAGGCGTCGAACTCCCGTCAATTGCCCCCCTCCCCCCAAGATAATCTAGCGAGACACGGCTGACGCGAATAATATTCGATAAGCAAAACAAAAGGCAGGCG